ATCTGGTATGGAAATTTTATTTCTTCTTTAACATGCAGAATGTGATAATTGTGGTCAATCAAATGCTGATTTTGAACTTTAAAGTGATTTTTCTGATCCATATTTATGTATATATTAAACTTATAACCTAAACACAAAACAAATTTAAAAATTATTAAATAAAAACATAAACATAAATAATTATAAATTAGCTGACAATTTATTGCAGGGAGCACTAAATTAACTCAAAGATAAAATTGATCAGGATGAACTAGGACTAAACACTGAAATCAAAATATTGAAATTTAAATCAATGTAAAACAAGGTTTAGTGATGTACTGCCTAGTATGATTAAATCTTAAAATTAACTATTATCAATTGATGTAAATGTCCCTCCTTGTTCTACCAATTTACCTGCTCAAATGCTCAATTTCTAACTTGAATATATTTTTTTTTAATTTAAATCAGAAAAATGTTTGACAAAAAACATATTAAATAAACATTAAATTGATTTATCTATCTCCTGAAAGCTTATGCTTGTGTTGGATATAAAGAGTTATAAAACGTTAATTTTTAACTTCAAATTATGTATAATATAGAAATAACATTAATAACATTAATAACATAGAAACATATTATATTAGATTTTTACTTTCAGTGTGATTAAAAGAAAAATAGAAAATACAATATCAGAAACAAAACTTAAATACAAGCAGAATATAACAACTAGGTATAAAAATCATCACAGGAAAACATTAACATTTATCATATTTTTGCTTAATGTTTCATAATAATTATTAACCCTAGAATAATATATTAAAGTTTGTCTATATTTCAATATTTGTAAACAGCCAATCAGTTATAATTGTTTTCACACAATTAGGTGATACACATATTGCATTTTTAAATTAATTATTCATAGAATTGAAACAAGTAGGACCTAGATAGTTCAGAAATATTTGACCGAACGAGGCATTTGTATAGGCTATAGGGGCATTATATGCTCTGTTTTTTCATTTATTTTGTTAACATTGTACCAAGTGTTTATATTTTTAACTACCCATAATATCTCAAATGGTTGGTAAATTAATTTAAAAAGCTATACGTTTAACTCATTATAATTGAGTACTGTTGACCCCAGTAAATGCTAAACCACTTCCTACCAATTATGTACCTGATGAATTAATTCGTTGAATTATGCTATTAGCCAATAAGTATTTAATTTATGGCAAGTAAGTATAAAATTTGTAGTGTTTAACATTTCAGATTGATTTCAAATTAATACAAAACTAGAGTGTACATTATTTCTTCAAAACTAACATTACCGATGTGTGATAACCAATCACATCACAACATCTGAAACAAATTAAATATAAATTAAGTACTAACTAAAAAAAATAGTTTAAATATATAATTTACATAATATAATAACACATAAGGTATTTCTGCTTTTTAACATAGATAATTGAGGAATTGTTATTAGATAAATAATAGGTAATACGTTTATAATAATTGAGACCTTGAAATTTAACTATTTACAGTTTAGTACTAAATATTTACCACAGCATCATACGTTTTGTAAACGTTTAACAATAAATTCTTAATAGGTATTTAAAATCATAATATTGAAATATATGATGAAAAAACTTAATAATAGGTACTTCTATAATTCTGCAATGCAGAAAAATATAGCTTTGGTTTTGAATTTAATATTGTATTCAATACATTACTTACCACATTTTACTTTGAACAACATTTGTAGATCACAATCAAAATAATATTAAGTACAAAATATTAGCCCGGACATCTGATTTGGATTGAATTTCTAGGTTTTTGTAGAAGCAAAATATAAAAACAATACACCTAACATAAACATAAATTAAGTATTAGTTATTTTAAATGAGAAGATATGTCAAGAAAGTTATTGCCTCTATTAGTATTTGGCAATAAAAAATGTTATATTAATTTTATAACTGCACATTTATGTCATAAATTATTTTTGAAAAATCATTTTCCAAGAAAAATATTATACTTCAAACAAATGTTACCTACAATTACCTATAACAATGTAATTATTAAAATGGTTTATATGTATATATGTATGTAATTAAAAGCTAGTGTTCTGACAATGAACAGAAGTTTATTATAATAATATTATACTGTTAAAATAGGTACTGTTGATTGTTCTGTTCAAATATCTAGATATGGCTATTGGCTTTCTAGTTTCTATAGGCTTCAAAACATCGTCTAAAACCGTGTTTTTGAGTTTTTAACTACCCGATTGCTCTTATCAGAATATCAGCTATAACTGTTATCAGGGGCAGATCTGAAAATATCATAGACGTATTAATTAATATGTTCATCAAATTTTATGTTGGCAACAAATTTTATGCGGCCACGACGTCTCGTCATAATAATAATATACAATAAAAATGAACATTACAGCTTAGTGCTTAGTGCTTAGTGCTTACTGCTTAGATCATCTAAGCATTACGSTAGTGCTTATGTTCTATAAATATCTTATATTTTATTCGTATATTGATTATCTATACACATAAAATCCAATTAATCCAAATACCACTTGGTCACTGATCGCTGTAACTCAAAAACCACCGCGCCAGAAAAATGGATTTTCAAAAATGTTGCGTTTTAATGGAGTAATATTAACAATTATAATTATTCACTGCCAATACGTATTGTGCAATTGTGCTGCTCGGTTGCCTGCGGCTTTCCAGTTATCTGCAACGTATCGTTGTTCTTCGTGTCGATAAGAATAAGAATTTTAAAAATTGAATTGATTTGATATTATTATAATGTTATACAATTGTTTTGAATTATGTTTTTATATTTTATTCCTGGTAARTTGGATTATTAATCTAAATTTTTAATTAGAAAACTAAAACCTATGTCCAATGAAATATGACATAATAWAGCAAAATTAAAAAATTTGGTTTTTTTTCAGTTGGTTTATTTTCCGYGGTCTTTTATTCCTTTGGTTTTAATGTTTTAGTTTTTTTTCCGTGGTTTTTTTTGTACTTGGTTTTTTTTCCGTTTACCCCTTAGATCATATACTATGATATCCCAATGATATATTGAAGCACATATAAACGAGTAAACGACGATCTAAGAATGCAAGAAATTATTATGATTGAATGCAGTAATTTTCGTCCTGTATTTTAAATGACTGTAAAACCTCTTTAATGGATATTAAAAAAAAAAATGGGCGTAAATTCACGGGAAGTTTTGTACATCACTAGCTACACCGGGTACGAGGTATTGGACGACAAATTAAACACAAATTTTGAGTCATATTGAGTTTTTAGTTGGTATTTTTAATGGACAACGAAGTGCACGGGTATCAGATAGTATTGTATATACTATATAATCATAAAGATATGTTCATGACAATATTAGTATACTATGCATAATATAACGTTTATGCCACGATATAGACAGTGTTGTAGAGTATTTGAGTAAAAATATTTGAATAAAAGTATTCAAATACTTTTTWACGTATTGAATACTTTTTAAAATACTTTTATTTTTGAAGTGTTTGAACGGTATTTTAAATACATTTTTTTAGTATTGAATACTATTTTATTGAATACTTTTTTTATTCCTATAATTCTTTATTCATTGTCAAATAATAATATTATAAATATAATATTATTTTATCATTTATGAACAATTCGATATAGGTTTTAGTTTTCGTCTATTAATAGCCTAACTAAATATGTTTTACTCCAAGAAACCGTCTGTTTATCGTCGACGACGATCGCAATTCGCAACGGTACGTTATCGGTACCTACTACCCTAGCAGTGCGTCAGTAGAGAGAGTGTTTAGTGTTGGTGGTGCAACAATCACCAAAAAATGAACTAATATGACTGATAAGCATTTCGAACAAATTATGTTCTTAAAATGCAACACACAAATGTTCGATTAATATTATAATTTATATTAATATATTATGAATGATTCAGATTGATTTTTTTGTTTTGTATTTGAAAATTATGTCAAATACTTTACTGTAGATAGTATTTGGGTGGTATTTTAAATACTTTATTTTATAAGTATTTGAGTAATTACCTACTTAAATACTTTTTAAAAGTATTTTTTACAACACTGGATATAGATATCTTCTCTATACATCGTGGTCTATGCTATGCATTGAGTTTTGGCTAGGAATCTCATAACTTTCCGGACTACTGCAGTCTTTAAAATTGTGTGTAGTACGAAAAATTTAGTGTGCAGTACGAAATTTAAAAGTGTGTTATTCTGGTTATTCACACTAAACCTTTATAATAATACATTCTATACAATTTTAAAATAACAATATTAATACAGGATATCAGAAAGTTCTTCGACCACAAAGAATAAAAAAAAACTATAATATTTACATTTTGCATACCTAATTTAAATTTATTTTTATTTATTTCTGATATTATGTGTTATTATTTTCATGAATGTTGTACACTTAAAATGATGAGTTATATTTAAAAAAAAATTGTTTTCAACAAAAATTCTATTTCACAAATTTGTTTAAAGAACCTTTAAATTTGTTAAATAGAAGTTCTACTTTATTTAAATAAAATTATTTATTGTAAATACATATTAATATTAATTGATAGGTTGATAGGTACTATGTATAATTTAGATTTGACTGATTTGGGACTATGTGTGTATTGTGTATTACGAACATTTGGATATTTTAGAGACTGGACTACTGTTACTAATCTATTCTGTGCTACTGCCCCACACATAAAGTAAATAAATTGTCTATAGTTTCCGATGAAAAAATTGGTATTGCAACTTTGCAACGACTTAGCAGGTTTTTATTTAATTTTATAAAACATTTGACGCCGTGTGGCATTCTATAGTCATTCTACATGCTACAATAGTCAATGAATTACCACAGGATAAAATGGATAAATTAAATTTCAATTCATAGTCAATGTTATAGCAGTGGTCACGGGATTCTACCTAAAAGTCCGATTTATTTACTATACATATTTATTTATAAGTTTTATTTTTCAACTTAAATCAATATTATAAATATACGCTAAAAATAAATATATTACATAAAGTATGACATTATGATTGTTTGTCAATATAATGATTAATGACTAATATAATATACTATACGACTAACGAAATTCATTTAAAAAATTCTTCCTTCCGAAATTCGTTATGTCACAAATTTTAGTCCTAGTTTAAACTTCAAATAAACACTTATAAAAAAAAAATCATTGTCTTAAAATCTTAAATGTATTATATTTAATATGTAAATAAACGGGTTGTTATTTAAATTTGAAAAACATCATATATATTTTTACATAATATTGATAATGGTTGTTATATTAGTCACCTTTTTTTATGGCTTACCTATTAAATATTGTTGACTGTTGTTGCATATTTTATGTGTATACCTATTAAATTATTATATGAATTTTTTATTCTAATGACGTATAATTTAGTTATTTTTTTTAAGGTACCTACACATATACTTTGATTTGCTCAACGCCATATATACTTATGGACATATTCCACATGTTTTAAAATRCATTTTAGTCCCAGAGCCATCGTCATAGCATGACACATTAATAGTAATAAAAATATATGTTTTCATTTTTCAATGTTGATTAATTGTTTATTCAAGTTCCAAGGTCAAGCATGTACATGGAAATATTTTAATAATGCAAATATTGTTAGAACCATAGACCATAATATAAAAAGTAGTATCTATATTATATATTATTATATCTATATTATACCTACACTATAGTATACATATTATAATCGAAGTGTGCTAAATGATGATAGAACCGTACGAGCCGTACGAGATATTGATGATTATATTGAGTAGACATAGCTGTTAGCTAAGTAAATAATATGTCCAACTTAGTAAAATGACATCGTTAAGGTTGGAGGGGGAAGGTGGCATTCCCTCCTTGTCATTATTGGACTGGGTATGGGCTTGTGTCGGGCTAGTTTTGGGTCGTTAGCCCGCAAACATGATTCGTATCAACTATCATTACTCATTGTTAAATAAAATTTAACCAAGATTCGTGGCTCGTGCTAATACACGTAAAAAATTTGGTGTAGGGTGTGGGTATCTGTCTGTACCTAATGTATTTCTAATATTTATGTATATTAATTAATAGATCATAGAAGTACTATTATGGTCTATGTCACGATTTAAGATAGTATATCAACAAATTATTGTAGTAAGTTGTAATTGTAATGTAATGTAATTGTTAGCAAGCGATTATTTTCAGTTTAATTATGAGCCAGTCAAAACTTATGCTCCCCACTCTCAAAAACTGAGATGACGCTACTGATTTAGTATGAAGGTATACATGTATTTATAGCATACCTACTATACTTATTGGCCTATTACTTACCTACCTATAATTTTATTTTACCTAGTTACCTACTGTTATAGTTATTAGGTTATATTAAATAAGTTCCTAATATTATATATAGGTTTATAGCTTCTCATTTATTTCAACTATTCACAAGTTAAAAACCATAATATGCACATCTAGTTTCTATAGGTACTATTTTAGATCTTTAATTTCTTTATTTTTTAAATTTTATTCTATAAGCCATGTTCAATTGTATTGAACGGTAAACTGTGTGTCTGTGTCGTAAGGCACACAGAGTGAGCAGTCTGCTATATTTATATAATTATATTAATAAAATTGTTTAATTTTTATATATTATAATATGATTTTAATGAATTATTGAACTTATAGTACATTTTTTGTATTCAATTTTCTACTTYAATTTATGTCATAAATTAATAGTTTACTGTTTAACTAAAAGGTATCCGCAGTGTGCCAGTGTATCACTATATTATATATTCATTGATTGTTGGGCAGTACGTAACTCCCTGGGTCAGCTGTATAGTTTGATTATAAAATGAATCCTTAGGTGTTCAAGTTTTCCTTTTCCTTATAAATTACAAATAATTATCATGTTAGTTGTAAATTTGTAATATAGGTACTCGTATTATTTAGTCATCTGTACCCAGACCCCGGTGTATTGTCATAATGAATAATGATTATGCCATTTATGAAACTTTGATGTCATAGTTTATTATTATTATTATTATTATATGGGAGACCTCGCTAGCTACTATTCCAATTATTGTAATATGTTTGCAATACACCGTTTACATTGGCGGTTAATTAAATTAATATCCGTTACAGTTTTAATTTTTGGTCTTCAATGTATCTATTTAAAT